TATATATATATATAAATTAAAAACTTGACAGGTTTCAGTATTCTACACCCACAGCCTCGCTGTGAATATCCCGGCAGTTTTGGTCCCTTTGTGGGAGGGCAACCCAGCATTACCTCCCTCATTCCCGTTCCCACTCTCATCCCTTTCCGCAGCTCCAGGTGGATTTGTGCCTCTTCTGAAAGCCTAGAAAGGAATTAGGGAATTCCCTTTGCTTTCTATGGTTTCCAGCTTTTTCCCTGGGGCAGCAGCAGCTCCTCAGCCCGGACTCCGCGCAGCACCCAGCCGCAGCTGCAGGGAGCTGAAATTCCCCCCGAGAAAGGTCCCAAAGCTCCCCCAGCCCGCAGCTCTGACCTTCCCGGCGAACACAGCAGCTGCCTCCTCCTGCTGGGTGCTCCCGGCTCCGGGCAGCCTCCCCCCTGCGGGCAGGAGAAAGGCTCAGGCAGCTCGGCCGACTGTTCGGGCCCGATGTAATTGTGTTTTCCTCCATTTCCCGGGGCCGGGGGAGAGAGAGGGCAAAACACGAGAAACGGCGGCAGGAGACGGGACGGGTCGGGCTTCCGCCACACCCAAGATGGCGGCCGCGGCAGGACCCCAGGAAAGAGAGGCGTCTTCGCCACTGCCTGCTGGCGCCCTCGAGCTCTCCCGCCCGGCTCGCACCCGGCCCCGGCGCCGCTGAGCGCACAGCCCGTGTCGGAACGCCTGGAAATGCCGCGGAAAATCGCTCCGGAACGGCATCGGTGTCGGCGGCGTGCGCAGGCAGTCGGGTAGACGCACGGGAGGGTCCTTGCTTTTTCCCGCCCTTTTCCGCCGCCATATTTAGAAGGTCAAGAGACTAGTGACCGGGTAACCATCTTGAGTGTGGCATCGCGTGACTTCCGCCTTTCCCGCCGCCATCTTTGTTGCGGCTGAAGCCACTTCCGGCATAGCCGCCATGTTTGTTGAGGCACGCTTAAGGCCCCCGTCCCTCACAGTGGCGTCTGTCGAAGTCATTGCCTGAACGAAAAACCGGCCGATACGGACCGACTCTGCGCTCTTCGCACGATTTTCCTCCGCCTTTCCCCGCGCGAGGACGCGGGTGGCGGGGTCAGTGGCGCCGGAGCGGGGCGGCGGCCGCGCGTGTGACGGCAGGCAGTAGCGAAGACACCTCTGCCGGGCGGGGGGGGGGGGGGGGGGGTCCTGTTGCGGCCGCCATCTTGAGTGTGGCGGAAGCCGGACCCAGCTCCTGCTGGGGGTCCAACCCCGGCCCGGCTCGGCTCGGCTCGGCTCGGCTCGGTTCGCTCGGCTCGGCTCTCTCCGGTTTGGTTCGCTCCGGCCCGCCTCGGCTCTCTCGGCTCGGCCCGGCTCGGCACAGCTCGGCTCGGCTCGCTCGGCCCGGCCCGGCTCGGCTCAGCTCGGCTCGGCTCTCTCGGCTCGGCTCGGCCCGGCCCGGCTCGGCTCGCTCGGCACTCTCAGCTCGCTCGGCCCGGCCCGGCTCGGCTCAGCTCGGCTC